GGGACCTTTAAAGGCCACATAGTCCCTGTGCCCTGCAGGGAACAAGGATATTTTCCAGCAGAGAGATTGCTCAGAATCCCTTCCAACCTCACACTGAATGGTTCTGAGCAACCTGTGCCAGTGCCTCACACCCTCATCGTAAAAAGCTTCTTCCTTATGTCTAAACTAAATCAACCCTCTTTAGTTTAAAGCCATTCCTCTTTGTCCTGGCACTCCACAAGTCCCTCTCCAGCTCTCCTGAAGCCCCTTCAGGCTCTGGAAGAGGCTCTAAGGTCTCCCTGGAGCCTTCTCCAGGCTGGGCCCACCCAGCTCTCCCAGCCTGGCTCCAAAGGAAAGGTGCTCCAGCCCTCTGAGCATCTTCATGGTCTCCTCTGGACCTGCTCCAACAGCTCCTTGTTTTCCTGTGTTGAGGACGCCAGAGTTGGACATTGTTTGGGACAACATGACCTGGCTCAGGTCAAAGTGTGATCACTCAGACATTGATGATACTCCAGCAGGAAGGAATCTTCTTGGTCACTGTGTAGTTTAATAATTTACTGTAAGTCCAACATATTTCTAAGACTGAAACAGAGTGAACTCCCAGAGCACAATTCCCTGTACCTCAAGATGCAGTCTGGTGTGTTCAAGGGTCTTGTGCAAATACAAATTAAGTCTGTCTCAAAAAACACAAACTTAAACAGGAGTAACTAAAAAAATGTTAAACACTATATATTCTACCTACACTTTAATGCCATTCACCATCTTTTGCACAGAACCTACTGCATTGCTGTGAGCTTTAGAGATTTCCCACTAAGACAAGAATACTGGTGAGCAGCACCAAAAAAAATTACATCTACAATGAGTCTCCTACAATAAAAATAAGTATCTGTAGTTTTTAAGGATCAATTAAGCAATTGAATTGATATTTAAATATCAATTCAGTAATTCATAGGACAGTAGACCTTAAATCATAGAATTGAAAGATAGTTTGTGTTGAAAGGAACCTTAAAGATCATCTAGTGCCAACCCCCCTGCAAAAGAATCAGAAAGTAGGGATTTAACTTAGTTTTTTACCATTTTGCTGGCTTCAAGCCTGCTTTAAGGTAGTCTATTCTTGTAGGGAAGTTATTTTCCCTCCACTGTTTATTCAAACTTGCAATGTACTATGAAAGCATTATGGTAGCTACTGCTACTGAATTATTGCCATATAACATGTGAGTGTTGGAAATGTATCCTTAAACTAGCAGTCAGAGTGACAGATGAATGGTGTTTCCCCTAATCCTATGGGAACAGAAGTGAAACAGAGCACTCACAGCATGATGCTCTATGAATTCTTTTGTGTGTCAGTCCAGACTTCTGATGGGAAGACTTTTTTTGAGGGGGAGAGAGCATTAAAGCTATAAAACAAATGATAAAAAATTAGTATTTACAGAATGAGATGTCAGCTTTGCAGTGAATGACGTTGACTGAAGTTTTTAAATAACTACACTTGATTTAATGACATGACACAGAGAATATGATAGTGGTTCTCACAGAAAAAAAAGCAGCAGAACTGAAGTTACCATTCACAAAATTACAGCCAAACCTGCAGTTGGTTTAACTATGGTCAGGAACCTGAGAAGTTCAGAGGAGCAACATAAGGACACAAGCACCTAAAACTCCAAGTCTACTCAAACTGCAAAATAAGGAAACATTCAAAGATTTTAAATGAACAGGGCCCTTTTTGCCGCACCAATTCAGCCACATCCCCACAGGAATACCACCTCTCTAAATGATTTTTACGAGACAGAGGAAAGCCAAATAGCTATCCTCTTGCAAGGTGTCAGTTACTGTGGATTCTGCCACAGAACAGGCAAAGGAAGGGAAGTTGAATTCCCGAGCACCACCAGCTCTGGCTGTTCCAGCCCTCAACCTGTGCAATAAAAAAGGAAAAAAGGAGTGTGGGTAGATTGCCATCACATGTGTTATTCTCAAGAGACTGGCACACATTATGCAAACCAGCTCTATGATCCCTCTCTCCTTCCCATGCACAGTTCAGTTACATCCAGGAATGGGAATCACTTTTTCATCTATAAATGTTCTTACTCTGAGGAGCAGCTCTGGTGCAGCAGTAGCTGTCTCAGGAGGGCAGGATAGGAACTGTCATGAAGTGAGACAGAGGTGCTATGCCAGTTTTTATTTTGTTTTGATTTTGCCAATACAGTTGGCTGGTTTGCCTCTATTTAATGCTATTATTGCAGTTTTTATAAAAAGTCATCTTATCACAATGTATTGATAAAATAATAATGTGTTATGATTATTTTAGTAGTGTGAAATCTGTTCTTAATTTCTGCCCTGTAGAAAGAGTATTTTAAGAGTATTCTACCTTGGATCAATGTCCCTTTGCGCACGGCTGGTATTACTGTTCCAGAGACATTCCCTTTGCTTCAAATTAAAATCATGGGATACATCAGTAAATTCTATAGACAATCCTAGATGAGTGTCCTTTGCTTTTAATATGACAGTGCTGGAGGCTGTATTTTAGTCAAAGAAGTGTAGAATTGTTTGTTCTCCTTTGGTAATGTCCCGAAGTGGCTCAGAGCTTCCCTGACTCCTCTGTGGTACAGATATGGAATGGACCTCACAGCACTGCAGGCAACAACATGAAGGCTTAGCTCTAATTTTATGAAATGCTTTAGAAGGAACGAGTATAAACAATATTTGCATTTTGTATCATAACTGAAACCATACTGCTAAACAATCATTTCCTGTTTAGCCCATAATGACATCAGAAATATATGTTTATCATCTACTCTGGACAGCTTAGCATGATTTTGGCCCAAGGCAAAGTGGAACTGAAATCATTTACAGTTGCCCAAACCAAGATAACCACACATTTCTGAGGTAATTGATACCTAAAAGGAACACTGCCCTTAGATTGAAGTTCATGATTTAAGTACACTAATTCCTTAAAAAACCCTGTTAAATTGTCTATTGGATTTCCTCCAGAATTTAGTGTGGATTAAACAACCTACTGAAGAAAGAACATGTGATACAGGAGATTAGCCCATCCACTAACTCTTCCTTTAGGAATAGATCACATTTCCTACTATCTTTGCTTCCTTTCCACTCACCTCAAAGTGACAAGAAAATCCCAAACAAAACAAAGCCAAAAATACATTAAAAATTTTGAGTAGCATGTTTCAAACAGTCTTTCATGTTTTGTCATTAGATTTAGAGACTAATAAGAAAGCAAACAGACAGTACTGGCTTAATATCTGTATATAATTCATCAACATATTCTAAAATAAGACCTTGACTCTTTTTTTTTTTTAACATAGAAACAGGTCAAGAGTTCACAAAATGTAATGAAGTCAAGCAACAGAGAGAAGAATTACTTTTTATATTTAATTCACACATGCACTACCATTCATGGATTACAGTGTAGTGATAAAACCCAAAACATATAGTCAGATGAAAGGCGAATGTTTGATTACAGACACACATTCCTTGACAGACAAACAGAGATTCAGATTGGCCATTGTCTACAACAGAGAACTTCATACTTTTATCAACTTGAGAAGTTCTTTAGACCTGAAAAATACTATACTGGAAGAACAGAAGAGAGTGCAAAGTCAAGCACATAACCCATTCATTAAGAAGAACGCTGTTATCCATTTCTGTGTGTACAAGCTCAAAGGATTTGCCTGCCTTTATGCAAAACACAACATTTTGCATAAATAAATAAGTAAGAGGTTAAAGAAGAGAAACCATCAGTTTCCAAAATACAAACAGTGGTTGGATACAACTGTTCAATGACACAGATTCTCAGCTGGGGGGAAATGGGACTTGTTCCTGACCAAATTCTTACAGAGAAGTGGTTCTTCATTAGGTTTTGATTTCTTCCTATTGCACGGCAGAAAGGAGCAGAAAGCAGATTGGAAATGCCAGAGTTCTGAAAAGAGGCTCCATTAAGAAGAAAGAAAGTAGATTTACAACCAGCACAGCATAAAAATTCCATTATTTCTTAAAATTTTCCATGAAATCCTGAAGGGGAAATGAAGCCCTAATAGCTAAATATTAAATACAAAAATATTACCAAACACATGAGCCATCTCAGCATTGAAAGGGAACTCAAACCAAAGCCCCCAGCTTCCAGCACTGAAAAGGTATAGAATTCACTCTACAAATATCAGATTTCTAACAGTCCTGTCCACTATGTAGTTGTCTGAAAATGGATGGAAATTGGATCAAATACTCCTCTGGAATTGTGAGTGTGCTCCCAATACAATTTTGCTCTTGACATCCAGTTGCCTACAGAAAACATTAGGAAGAATTGAGCAACTGAGCATGAAGATGGGTGAAGGACTCTTCCCTGCATTCACTGTAGACCAGATTACCAAAAAATCAGGGTAGTCCTGCTCACCCACAGAAAATTAGTCAAAAACACAGACTTCCATGCCAACACAGCTACACTGCTTTTCAGTCCCACCTAGCTTTATGGAGGTCATGTAGCACTGCATTTTTTACTGTAGATAAAATTTTTCATAACTACATAATACAGAAAATAGGACTCAAAAGGAGGGAGAGAAGAGTTTATACTCAAGCATGTTTGCACAGAATATTTTAATTTAATGTGTAAGCTGTGTTATATGAACACATGCCATATATGTTATATGGTATTGAAACAATTTGCTAAGAAGATAAATAATAAGAAAGGACAACACTGTTGTGAAAAATGTGCATGGAATTTTTATAAAAAGAATTTTCTTTCTTCAGGAAAGAAATACAAATACACAGCAGACATAAAGATCCATAACTACCATTCCATAATCTTCCTTCTCAGCATGTGTGCCTAGATATCAAGAAACATTTGAAAGAACAGGAATAATATGGAAATAGGATTTCTTTAGACCATCTGGGCAAAAGAAAAAACATGTAACAGTGATTTAATATGCAGCATGAAAAAGGCATCAGACCAGCATGATGTATTAAATGTTTCACAGTTTCTCTGCTGGGTATCAGTAAAGGGAAAGAATTACCTCCATGCGCTCCTGCTTGACATCATCAATCTCATCATCTTCAAACATGGCCAAGAGCTCTCCAGTCTGGTCAATGGAGTTGAGAAAGTCCTGGGCCAGCTTCTGCCGCTTGTTGGTGTTATTGCTGTTGAATTTGTCTTCACAAAGACAAGCAAAGAACAACAAACTTCACTTATTTGTCTTCTCCAAACATCACTCAGAGTGACACAGTTTAGAACCAGCACTGAGCAGAAAAGGCCTGTTCTTATTGTGCCCGTCACACAAGCTGTGCTACCTGAACAAGGTGATGATGCTGCTCTGCTCCAGTAAGAGCAAAACATCATTTAATATTTTTAGTATAACCAAGTAGTTTTTCATGATCTAGAGAAAACTAATCTGCTGCCCGTATAGCATTACTTCTCACCAAAGAATCCACAGTGGACACAGCTCTAGAGGAAACAACCCCTCTTTGGTAGAAAGAACTTGAGTCACAGAGCAAAATATATCGAGGAAATGTTCTTCCCTGAACACATGCAGAACACCTCATTACCTACAGCCTCAAGCAAACTCTAACATGACCACTAAGATGCAATTCCAAAGGTAATGGACCATTGCTCTCTGCAGTAAAACCTGGATAATGCTGGCAAGATGATCTCTGTTGTTCTAAACAGCAGAATACCTATAAAGGCATTAAATTCACAAAAGAAAATTAACGGCTTTAATTACCAAAGCTTACTAGAAAAGGCATTCTTTAACTCCAGGATAAACTGCATTTAGGAAACTTTTCATGAACATCTAAAAGGCTTAAAAGAATTGTTTATTTGCTTCAAGTAGTGACACAAGCTAAAGTATTAAAACCTAAAAGCTGCCAGGTAAGAAGCTGTACTGCCAAATTGCTTGCACACACGAAACATGAAAATAAAATGCCACAGGCAAATTAAATCTCAAATGAGCTGACAAAAACTTCTCCACAGCTTGATGAAGTCAAAGCAAGAAGTACAATGTTTACCTAGCATCAATGTGGATGCTCAGAGGAACCAAACACAAGGAATTCATTGTATGGGAAAAATAATTAAAGGCTCTGAGAAAGGAAGTAAGTTTAATACAGAAAGTTGTGTATGGACATTGCTAGATGTTATAGCAGTATGGTAAGGTTTAGATTTGCTATGATAAGTTTTCACTTAAGTTTTTACAACAGAAATGTTAGTTCTAATATCAATATAAATCAACAAAATTTTAAACCAGGAAACTATGTGGCATAAATTAATATATTTTTAATTCAAAGAGCTTTTCCTTTAAATGCATTGGTTATAAAAACTGTGACTTCCTCAAGGAATGCAGAAACAAAAGTGTTTCCCATTATTTGAACTAGAAATTCAAAGTATAAAATGTCAAACCACACTGAAAAAAACACCCACATCATATATTAATGTTCAGTAACTTCAGATTATAAGGGTATATTTTTTAAAGCATGTCAAAAATATCACTATCAAAACCTTTTGATAATAATTTAACAAATGTCCATTCAATTGCAGGTGGTGCATTTAAAATACAGATGCTGAAATCAATAAGCCCTTTAATCAGGACCAGTTTCTTACTTCAACAGAGCTCTGACATTAAAGTCTTACTGTTCATCTGGATGGTAAATGCAAATGCTTACATATTTCAAATGGAAAAGCAGAGATTTTCAGCAAAATTCCTCTAAAGAGACTATTTTTACTATTTTTGTGTCTCTATCAAGCCAGACATTAATACTTTGCATTGAGCTGTTCAGCACTTTTACAAGATATCAAGCCTCTCCCAAATTAATTTCTTTTTTTTCTACCTTCGAGGAGGTCATCTTCTTCTATTCCTTTGACAATTTTAGATTTGTAGTCTCGAAAAAACATGTATTTAAGTAGCCTTCGAAGCTTCTTCTATGAGAAAAAAATACATTTATATTAATGACTATTACTATTTCTTATTTAATAAACTTTGTAACACGCAAACATACAAATGTGTAGCACATTATTCAGTAAATATAACCTTTAAAATATTTGTCATTTTAAATTCTGCAGAAAATCCACAAATAGAAAGTACCTCATGACAGTAGCAAATCCATATTAAATATTATTTATTTGAGCTCTTTTTTACATTGCTGTGAGACAGAAATGAGTTTGACTTTCAGAAAGAATAAATTCATATACTGGGCTTCTTTATGGAACTCCACAATGTTTGCTTACTTTGGAAACTCTAGGCTAGAAATGCACATTTCCATGAACTTTGACTCCATATCAACCACTGTTTTCAGAACAGCCTTACAGCTTTTATCAGATAAAGAAACTGCAATTTATTTTCATGTTTTAGTGGAGTTTAATTTTGAAATAGTTTTGTTCATTAAGTTTCATCTGTCAAATGAGGAAAGGAAAACAAAGGAGAGAAAAGGGTGAGAGCAAGAGGGAAACTAAGGAGAAAAATGACATAAAGGAAGAACAAATAATGTAATTTAAAACAGTTGAATTTTTTTTAATAATTATTAAGTTTGAGGAAAGAAAATTATTTTTTCCATTGTAGACTTCCTGTACTCACTATCCAGACAAAGCAAGGCCATACCTAAATTTGGAGATTTTAGTGGGATAAAACATAGGAAAAATATTATGAAATAAAATAAAGTGGATTTATAGACAGTCTAAATAACAAAATTGTAAGGGTCACATTGTAAAATGTCACATTGGCACCCTTCATAACCAGGGTGAAATTAGAATGATTGATTTTTAATTAAAGGGACCTAAAATATAGGGATCGATATTTATGTCTTATTAAGAAATTGTTTTTAGCTCTAAGGTACATTATCTACCCTAAAGCTTTGTAAAAAAAAAAAAAAAAAAAAAAAAAAAAAAAATTAAAGCTACAGGAAAAAAACAATTATTCAATTATTATTTCAGATATTGCAGAATGATTATAACATGCTCAATCACATACAATTACAGAACAGCTATACTTTTAATATAAAGGTATTCATGATGATGGATTCCTTTATATAGGTTAAGAAAACACTTGAAAACACAAAAACAGCTGCCTAAATAAAGTACGAAATTTCTGTCTAATTACTGTACCTTATCTTTGCGCATCAAGAACAGGAGATCTTCAGCAGAGATGACTCGAGCCCCTCTCATCTGAGAAACTTCAGCTGCTTGCTGCAACTAAAATAAATGAATAAATTAGGATGGCCTTTTCAGTGTTAAAAACTTTATTCACTGGGGTTTGTTTTAAATAAATTCAGATAATATTTTGCATGGTTGTCCATAGCAAAATACAAGCTGTGCACTAAAACACAAGCTGGGACTCTCAAAGGTGTCACTCACTTGAGTCTTGTTTGCCAAGAAGTGAATAACAATTTTATGAAAGGTCTGGAAGACCTTTGACAAATCTCAAGAAAAAGCTTTTTTGTTTGTATTTAAAATGATTGCTTTTAAAAAGTCCTGTTGCCATTTTTTTTTCTTCTCTTAGCACAGAAAATGAACATATAATTCTCTCAGGCAATGTAAAAATGCCAAATTCTTGCCATAGCACTTTATCTGCAACTGTGGAAGGACGGCTGATCCCTCTCCCAATTTTTTAGAATAACAAATATTCATTTTAAACAGCTTACCTAAGTATTTTTTGAAAGAAACTCTACCCCTACTTGACTTAGCATTAGTACAAACCAGACTCACATGAAGAACTTTTTTAGGAATGGTCTTATTTCATTTGGGAGAAAGAAAATTAATCGATAGGCAACACCGACTCTACTAATGAAGGAATTGAAAAATCTTATTGAACAGAACAGGCCATGCAGCTGTGAAAGTAATAAAGATGGGACTGAGCAAGGAATGACACAAAAATTGATAAAAGGTGGCCAAAGGAGTGTGAAGCAATGGACTGCCCCCACATCCATTGTGACAGAGCCTACAAAGGCCCCAAACACCTCAAATTGTGCTGTAGAGAGCAAAAATCTCTTTGTAAAGGACTAAGTACATCAGCTCTCAGTAAGTGCAGGAAATTGGGGTTTTTTACACAAAACCAGAACAGGTTTAGAAACCTGGTAGTCTGGGTTATCTGCACAGCTGATGCTTCTCAAAGTACTGGGCTAAGGAGGTTCAACCCAAATGCGCAAAAAGAGTCAGTGGGATTCGCTCCTTTCACCTCACAAGCCTTTTGTTCAGGCTCGTGAGGTGAAAGGAGCAAATCCACCATCATCATGGAATCACAGAATGGGCAGGAAAGAATTTTTAAAGATTATCTAGTCCAACCCTCTGTAACAAGCAGGGACCTTCAGCTAGACCAGGTTGCTCAGAGTCCTATCCAGTCTGACCCAGAATTTTTCCAGTGATGGGGAATCCATCACCTCTGTGGACAAGCAGTTTCAGCACAAAACATAATGCTGTATCAACTGACATAGACAGGATGCTTCACACTTTATCCTCTAAATTAGAAAACATAATCCAAAAAGCAAGATTTAATTGTAAGTTTTTTTTTCCCTTAGCCTTGTTAACCTTCTGATGGAAAATGGACAGTGAGCACAGCACAAAAGTCATCAAAAGAAGAGACACGTTCAAAAATTCTTGATATTAAAATTCATACACACCTGTAACATGATCAATACACAGCAATTTAATTTATGTTCAAATAGTTCTATATTCTTCTTTAGAAATGCATAAATGCACCTGAAAATAATTTAAAGAAATCCTATCCTTCATACTCACACTAGCAATGGTTTCACTCAGTATCACTGGCTGAATAAGTATATTATTAATCTGAGCTCCCATGCTGCTATGACTTGAAATAGGCCTATTCAGAAGTTAAAAAGATCAACAAAAACAGTAGCTGTTTCTAATATCCAAAGAAGAGGAAAGGAGGGGGGGAAGTTTTCATTTTGGCAAGTGTTCAGTGGGCAAAAGATTCAGTCCATAAATCATAATACTGGACTGCATTAATTTTTTTCCACACTAATCACATGCACACAAAACATTACCTATATCTGGTATGCACAACACAAAAAATACTGCGTGAAGAGGTTCAGATTTTCCCCTTGGAACCCTGTCTTGGCCCTTGCAGTCACCGAGACCAGAGAGATTTCAGGAATTCAGAAGTCACAGTAACATAATCTCACTTGAAAAATGTAAGAATGTGAAAAATGATAGCTCTATTTTTTGGCATAAGCAAAACTGTTTCTTATTCTGATTAGTTTGAGGGCACGCAAGCTACTTATGTTTCTAACATAAAATATAAAGAGTTGGATAAAAAAAAAAATTTACCAAGAACGAGCCAATATTCCTCTCTGGTGTAAATCTATTGCAGCTAATGGATTTATGCCAAGGCCGACTTTGGCCCCACTGAGCTTAAAAGTGTTAGAAAACCTGACCTTAGCATGGTGATAACACAACACAGCTTTCCCAAATATCATGTAAAACAATGGCAGAAATATCCAAAGGGAAAGCACGCCCTGGTTCCTAAACATGCACAAGGATGATCTCTTGCCCCTTCCAATCCAAACCATTCCATGACTCTCTAAGACATAAAGTTCAGGTATGTTAATTTCCATGTGTAGCTGAAATACCTTATTTTTCCAAATTATAAACATGTGACAACGACGTTTATAGCAAAGGTTGTGTGTGAGCTGCTTGCAGGAGCCTTGTGATGTAGGAAGGGAGAGTTAGGAGAAAAGGCCAAATTCATGTCCCATTTGCATCTAAGTAAATCCTGAATAACACTGTTTACTTTAATGGAGTTATTCTGGGCTAAACACAAGATCAAAATCTGGAATAATATTCTCAGTTTCTACCAAAACAATGAAAACTTTATTCTCGTATTGCCTCGACTGCATCTATTTTATTTTAAGGAATGGACACACAGCATTTAATTTCTTTGGCTTTAAGAAAGCAAAGTATGAAAATAATTACTTCCTGTACAGTTATAAAATATGGATTATTTATTCAAACAGACCATAATGAGTTATGCATTGGTACACGTATTTACCTGGGAAACCAGGGTATGCTCAGGTAAATATGTATCCAAGCAATTAAATAAAAATTACGTCCCACACAGCCGAGGCTGGGGGAAGATGTATTTATAGTTCAACACACACATAATTGACTCATTCAAACCACAACGTGAGTGCTTTGCTATAATTAGTATTATAACAAACTGTCTTATTTGACTGTCCCAGAGTTGTCATTAATATGCAATAAGCCCAATTCCTGAATTTCTGGAGCTGAAGGCCCTGTTGAGTCATTATGTGATGAAGGGGGATTTCAGGAAGCCGTGCCAAAGAGCCAATCCATCTCGGAGCACCCGAGCATTTGTCATTCCAGAAAAGCCTTCTCAGCTCTCCAAAATCAGGCGGTACCTCACCCCTGGCTGCAGTGGGAGCATGGAGGGTTTCATCCAGGGAGCAGCACTGCCCGTGACTCCAGATGAGGGGTGGGATAGAAATGCTGCAGGAACTGTTCATACATGAGGTTACCACATGGCAAGGGAGCAATTATGGCAAGAATTTCCCACCATCTCCCTTCTCCAAGCCTCAGTGCCAGTCACAGAATTTGGGGCTGCAGAAGTTCCAACATAGTCACTTCTCTTAATTTTTTTAGCTTTGAAATTAGGTCCACGTTACAAAATATTTTGTTTGGGATGATATTGAAGAACAGCAAACAATCTAAATTACTCAGCTTTTTTAAGAAAAACAGACTAAATTCCCTAATACCAGCAAACAATGTCTGAGACCTCAGAGTCTGAATATATTTTTTATTACAGCAGAATTATGAACCCCTAAAAGCGAAGTTTAAATAACGGAAGTGTTGAAATGATTTTAACTATAGGAGCGCAAATAGCTCTGTTAATAATTAGGAGTTTATGAAAAATAAGTGTATTTTACAATTTTTCGCATTACAAAGAAGGTAGTATATACAGTAACTATATTTTAAAGCCTAAGAAGAAATGGCTGGGGAATAATATTTTAAAATGTAATCATGGGTTTAATGACTTTATGAAGTTAACTTTCTTGGCAGGATGAACTGAAGTATGTTAACAGTCACCTTACGGCTATTTTCTTTTTGCAAGTTCTGCAAATTATAGATTTGTTGAAAGGAGTATTCATTCTCCTTGACAGAAGCACAGTTACTTCAATGGGACTGTCTCTTTTTTCTTTCTTCCAGAATTATTTTTTCTTCCACTACCTCCAAAGTCAACAATCACCGATACTTCTTCTACAAAACCGTCTTGATGGACAAACAGACAAAAAGCTGGAAAACAAACATACCGTGTTGTGACATAATCCTTCCAGTTAAACTGCAGGACAGAGCTGGAATGGTGATGTTTGCATGCCTTGGAACTGCTGGGAGCCAAGAATAATGCTGCAGGAGCTACGATTTTGTTTTCATTATACAAGAAAATTCACCTGGGTGAATTTCTTTTCAGAGGCAGGAAGGTTGTTGTGTTATTAAATATGCATTAAAATGTCCCATTTTCTCACCTTTTCTACGTAAAAAACAGGCTCCTATAAAATTACCAAATAATATTCTGAATTAAGATAGAGTCCTGTAAATACATTCCAGAGCATCCTGATACTTTTATGAAGGCAACTAAATAGAAAAGGCAAATACAGGTTTTCACCTCAATCTTTCTATGTAACATCTCACATGCTACTAATGGTGACACCTGAGCTTCTTATTCTAACACACAAAGAGGGAAACACTGAATTTGTTTCCAAAACTCAGCAAAGGGATGTGCTTTATTCACTTAGCACATCCTGGGAGATAATTACATTATGGAGCCCATTAGAGCACCCTCACAGGTAACATTTCAGGATCACTGCACAAGGGTTCACCAGCATGACTGAATCATCACAAGCGGTTTAGAACAAAAAAAGGACCATCTGCACATTAAAAGATGATAAATTTTCTTTTTAACAGGTACTTAGTTTCAAATGTAACTGTTTTTTTACTGAAGACCATTTAATATAACACCAGTTGATTATACGTGACCTCTAGAAGATGAAGCTCTGTATCACATTTTGAGGCTTTAGAAAACATAGAATTGTTTAAGTTGGAAAATACTTTTAGGATCATCGAGTCCAACCACTACCCCAGCACTGCAATGCCACCACTAAGCCATCTCCCCAAGTGCCACATCCACACATCTGCTAAATCCCTCCAGGGATGGTGAC